TATCCACTCCAATACATAGCTTTCCTTATCGTTGCCACGAAAATTATCGTGACTGCTTCCTTTAACACGTTGACGACAGCCCCTTATGCGTGTACCTCGGCAACTTTTTGTTTATTTTTTTCACAATCGTCATAACTTCTTCAATAATTCCACTACTGGTAATTGACTCACAGTTTTTCGGATAAGATAACGCATGCACACAGTTTTGAAATATGAAAAATGCCAAATAAATCGAAAAAACTAGCCAGAATCGGGCGAAATCCTGACGCGCATGCGCGTCATGCTGTCGTCAACGTGATAAAGGGCGGTCACACTGGCTTCCACGTGGATCGCCGAACGCCGCGTTATCAAGGTCGGAGATAGATAGTGTTTGGACGAGCTAACCCTATGGAAGATATGATACGATTAGATAAGAAGATACGGCTGCTTAGAATGAGGTGCACTCCAGCATGAAAATCGAACGATAACGATAACCGTATCATATCTAGCACGCTTGCTGCTGCATCCCCTTTCATGTCCTCATTTTTATGCGCCTACTTTCGAATGCGCGCGGTAGCGAGCGGGGTCAAACCGTATTAGGAATGAGAGCATTTTGGTGCGTCTATACATATATGATCCTTCAAAGCCTCGCATAGGTGAATGTGCACCTATTTGCCAGGCTTTATAAACTCCCGCTTGAATCTCCGTTGCGATCCGATAAGGAGTGTAACGCCGAACGGGAAGTGGGTTTCGGCGCCTTATCACGCCGTTGATAAGGCGCCACTGCCCCTGAAGCGTCACCTGTCGTCCATTGGGTAGGACCCCTACCAATCCACTATGTCACTTTCCCTATCGTCTCCATAGAAATTGTCGTGACCATTTCCTTTAATAACATCACTTATACTCGATATCGGTGAGTTGGGGTGGGCGTGTCACCGGAAGTGACGTGCACTTGATAGAAACTATGTGGATAAGCTGCTTCCAACATACATCGCTGGATATCAGCAAAGCATGCTGGCAACAGCTTATCCACGCACTTCTATCAAGTGCACGTCACTTCCGGTGACACACCTACCCCAACTTTCGGATATCGACTGTATGTACGTCGAAAGCATGCATGCTGTTTAACACAACAGTGAATGCGCGCGGTAGCGAGCGGGGTCAAACCGCATTGGGAATATGAGAGCATTTTGGTGCAGCCATACACACATGATCCTAAAAAGCCTCGTGTAGGTGAATGTGCAACCATTTGGCAGGCTTTATAAACTCCCGCTTGAATCTCCGTTGCGATCTGATATCCTACAGTGTTTGTTAACGAGAAGGTAAGTCGAATAGGAGGAAGCACTGCCTAATCACAACTACATAAAGGCACCCTAACCTTCTGGAGATTATTTTCTGCAACATTTCAGAAAGGCAATATCAGCTCAAAAACCTAAGAGCGGCAAGAAGACAATAAGTGAAGCCTTCAACCTAGCAGATGTTCTTATAAGCGTAAGATGAATTCAATCTTCAATTTTTTGAAAACGCAGTGTCATTATGGAGTATGATCAGGGTGAAATTTAAGTAAAACTTCCAAATGAGAGAGGAGAAAGGATAATAAAGGCCAAGGTCGGGATTGGGCGATCGAATTAATCCTTTCCATAACCTCTGTGCGTGACCATGCACTCACAGAGATGACTCCACGCTCGAAACAGCGCGGTAATGAGGCTTCCAAGAAAGTTATTAACTATTGCCGCCTGGCATCAGCTATGACCACCATCCGCAGGAGGTGGAAAGTGGCTGGCACAGGACGTGAAATCATGGGTTGATTGCTGCATCCACTGCTGACATGAAGCCAGCAATGGCTGGCCTCCTTGAAAAAACCCTCGGGCAGGCCTTCCTGCTGTGCCTCTCTTCGCTGCTTTTGGACAGGAGGGTTCTATTTTAGTGTCGAAGACTTTCCATCCGTTTTTTATCGCTGTTGTTCCATTTCGCATCTCCGCTCTCAGTAAAGCACTGTAGTACCCAGAATCGAGCCCATTTGTCTTCAAGTCAAGGCTTAAAGGCCTTACTCGGTAGGATGGATTGCTTTTGAATGCTTTCTACTTCGGGACTTGGATATAACCTTACGAAGTAGTGCTCCGTGAGAGCTCACATAGAGATTACCGCGATGAATAGTTTTCAGCAACTGCAATTAACGAATACCTTACAAAAAGTGAAGAACGGGGACGTTGTTGATGATGTGTGAATAATTGGTTGAGGTTGACAGAGGAAAGGTGAAATTGGCGTTGAGCCAGTAAATAGTCTAGCTCGCATTCAGGCCTCGGGTTCGTCGAATAGGGGGCGTGCAAGAGTTGTTGTATTGTCGGACACCGTATCAGATGACTGCTTGAGCGAAAAACACGATATAGATGCGTTCAAGATTGCGTCAAGAAATGTAAGTTGGCTTGCAGGATTTTCTAAATGCTCAAGGCTTCCGGAAGTGCAATTACTGAAATAGTCTACTTCTATGAGACAGCCACTATTCGAATGTCTGTTGTCGTCCGCTTGCTTTCACGCTTGTGGATTTGGTGCTCCTTTTTCCACTTGTATATAGGAGGGGCGAAATTTACAGTGACGACCTAAATTGGTCGAAAGCAGTGTGGCCGAATCGCAATTACCAGCCCATGATATTAGTGAAAGTGATTTTTATCATTTTTTCTTATATATTGTAAACTATATTATTATATTATAATCTTTAATCTTATATATTCTAACATATTATATATTGTTCTTATGTTACTATTTTCACCTTTCTACAGTGGCAGGCCAGCGGCGTCCAGGTACTCTTCATTGCAACAGGAAAAAGGACTGCGGACATGGATAAAATTACAAGTTCAGTCATCAGCCTGGAAAACTCTGCAGTAAGTGTTTGAAGCACGCTGTATACCTCGTGAGCAATTCACAGCACACCCAATACCTAAATGGTAACTTGCTCGATTTTTTCGTTATCGCTCAAGAAATAATACAAGAAGCGTATATTTTCTGTATATTTTCTATATTGTACGTTAGCTTCATCGCGTCTGTTCAAGTTTCCAAAATTGGTATTACTTCATTCGGCTCTTTCAGTTGTACTGATCTCCTCAGGAGCCTGCAGATTATTCTGAAGCAATTCATCCAAGCAACACTTAATGCATGAACGAAAAGCCAAGGCGAAGCAACACGGGATCGAAGTAGTCCTTTGAAATGAGATGCATAGCACCTGAAAGACCTTTGAGCCCAAACCTCAAATCTGTAATGCCATACCTGCGAATGATTTTTTGAACAAAGCTATAGAGCTTGTTGTGAAACGGAGCAGAAACGTGCCCAGCAGCAGTACGATACTCAAGCACAGCTTGAATGTGACACGTTGGCCTAGTGGGTACTATGCCGGTCTCGCGACGGAAAGGTCAAGGGTTTGGATCGTTGGTGTGCATAATTTCTGCACTTTTTCAGAAGTATGCTCAATTCGTTTGTGAACCACCCTTGCACGTTAGGACACCTTATCTTGTCGAAACTACTTTTTGCAAAGAAATTCGATCGTTCCAGTTGATTCAGTCGAGTAATTTTCTAATCCTTTCTTCTACACCAAACAAGTTAACTACTTTTGCTGAAAATCTGTAGACAGAAATAGAATGGCATTTTGAGGAAGAGTATTATAAGTAGTTAGCATAGAAACCACATATTCTCCCTCTTCAGAGTGGAAACATTGCATATGTGAGTGTCCCTGAAGGTGTCGTGCCTCGCAGGTCAATGGAGTGAGAAGCGCATCGGTGAACCCGACGAGACACACAAAAAACGTGGGATTCCGGTGGGTGCCCACAACACCTCTGAAAGGGAAGAAGCGTGCAGCGAAGAATGCTTGAAGATCG